TTTATTTGAATTAGTGGAAATTAGAGATCCTAGAAAAAGTAAAGTAGGTAGGAGGTGCCTTCTGTATACATTCATTAATTTTTGTATTGCTGTTAATTTGTGTATTTATGGTTTACTGTAGATATGACTTGTTTTCCAAATTGCTAGCAGCCCCAGGCTTATGTCGATTTTAGTAAGCATATTTATTTACTGCTCTTAGTCAACATTTTCTGCCATATAAATAGCTGTGGGTCTGACAGAGACCTCTGAAATCCATAAAGAGTTCCTAACAGTACCTGTGGAAGCCAGGAATTCTGAAATAATCTACAGTATGTAACACAGATGATTAGAAATTTACCTTGCCTTGTGCAGTGGGTAATTCCTAAGGACATGAAGTTAAAATCAAGCAGCACATGGGCTGGGGATTTAGCTCAGTGGTTCCCCCGCCTGCCTTGCAAGTGCAAGGACCCAAGTTCAATCCCTGGTACCGAAAAAAGAAAAGAAAATCAACAGCCCGAAAAGGCACGCAGGGAAAGGAACGTGGGAGGCAGACTGCCTGTTAGCCTACCAGTGAACTGATGCTTTGCTTCTCTCTTTTTTCCAGTTAAATGGATCGGTGTAGGTAAATCCAGAGAATCCATGATTCAGCTCTTTTAAGGATTACCAGTAAGACAAGAAACACTGTGGGAGGGAGGGAAAAGACGTTCTTAAACATTTCTTTATGACCTGCAAGTTCAGAAATAAAGACAGTGACTGGAGTGGAAGCCCTGAAGGTGTTCCAGGTGAGAGCTGGACGCTGGTGCGGAGGAGCTGTGGGTGCGTCCCAGTCCCTCCTCAGTGGGCGTTGTCGCCCAGTCGTTTCTTGCTCCTGCTGCTCATGGTGCCATGTTTTCTTTCAGTGTTTAGTAATAGCTTAATCTCTGTTGTTTGAAACCTAAAGTAGTTATTTTTGATGCAGTTTTTCTTCATTATTGTCAATGTGTGTTTTAGGTTTTACCCCTATTAGATGGTAAGAAAACTTAATGCAGTTTTGCACAAATATTTTTACATTCTGATCATTCAATTCTCATTGTAATCTTTACCATTAGAAAAAGAGTGATGGAAAGATAGGGGTTCTGTAAACTTTTGTAATGCTATAAATTCTGTTTAAATTGGGAATTGTTTATTTTCTGCTAAGACCATTGCAAAGTTGAGCTTTGGCTGCGGGAAGGGGATATACTCATGGGTCCTTTAATTTTACAGCACACAGAACTTAGTCTGGCTATAAATTATTTAATTCCTTAAACATTTAATTAAATGTTCAAAAAGAAAAGATGGTCCCCTAAATAACCTTAATGTTTAAAAAAATTAGTCATTAAAAGATCTGTTGTGATATTTGGTGGGTAGTTTTCTTTAGTTTCAGACAGGAATTGAAATGTATATCTTTCTTTTTTAAAGTTTGTATTATACCTTTATTTCTAAGTCTAATGGATTGATTTTTCAACACTGTGCCTGCCTGCCAGTATACCTACAAAAATCACGTGTAAGTGTCCAAATGAACTTAAATTGCTGGCCATAATTTTGATCATGCCTTCTTTTCTCCTTTCTTGAACAAACAAAGGTGTTATTTTGACAATTAGACTTAACATATTATGTTATAGATTATTCATTGAACTATCATATGTTTAGGTGCCACTTAAATTTATTTTATTATACCATCAATAGCTGATTAAAAAGAACCAAATATTTCTAGTATGCTTTGTGTATTGTTTTTTTTTATGGTAATAATACTGCTAGTATTTAGGATGGAACATTCCTCCAGTATGTGGTGGTAATATATAGAGAGAGAAAAATAGATTTTTTGGAAGGTTCTGAGTATCTTTTATCTCCATTATCTGTATTTTTATACAATTCTAAAATAGTACCCTCATTGAACTTAATGTATAAAGAATATTACAGATAATCCCGCAAACTCACTGTAGATCTATAATGACATCTGTAAAAATAATAATGTATTTATTCTAGTAGATTGAATGGGATTTCAAAGTCTATATTCTTATCTTGGCTATAAGAACTGTTATTAAAACTGTTTTAAAAAGTGAACTATTTGTTGATTGGTTGAGATAGTGATAACTATTAAAATGACAAATTTTTATGGAGCAAGTACATAATACATGTGCCAGGTTCTGCTGGGGTTGCCTATGCAGTGGTGATAAGTATGCAGTCTTGCTGAAATTCACTGTGGTGGGAACAGCATGCTAAACACTTATTTAGGAATGATGTATGCTGCAGTTGAAAAATACAGAGTACAGTGAGTGAGAAGCTAATTGAAATGTGGAAAGGGTCAGGAAGGCTTCATTGGATATTTAGTCAGAAGGACCTAAAGCAACTGAACAAAACAAGCATGGAGCTGATGTGGTTGGCAGTGAATTCAATAAACACTGAGTCAAACAACCAAAACATTTTATATGGAAGAAGAGTACTGTAGCTCAAAATGCAATTCATACCATGTTTAAGGAGACAGAGTGAGCTCACAGAAAAATTGTTGTAATTTTAAAACTCATTAGAAGGAAACTGGCTGACCAAACAAGGTATTTTGGTACAGAGAGAGCCTGTTTAGTATAGGTATCTGACATTAATAGGTCAGTATTGTTAGATGAGATTAGGAGAATCTCTAAGAAACTTTCGAAAAGGTAACTCCCATTGTTAAAGTATTATAAAGCGATGTGACATTGTCATGGAAAGGAACAAATGCACAGAAAAAAATTTTTTAACCTGAGAAAAAAACTTTGTAAAATTTTCAGTATTTGCCTTTAATATGCAGAGTATAATAAATGAGAAAATGATAACTAATAGAAAAATGATCATATATCAGTATATATCACATAGTCCACAGAAAGATAAATGTGAATGGCCCAAAGCATGAAAAGATCCCCTCCTTCCCTTGTAGATGGGATGAAGTATTTCCATAAAAGGTAAAAGTATTTGGATTTGTAATTTCCTGTGATTTAAATTACGGACAAATTCAAACAAAAAACATTAAAATTTTCTATTGTTGGGCACATTGTATAAACTTTTTTTTTTTGTTACTGGGGATTGAACTCAGGACCTTGTGCTTGTAAGGCACTTGGTGGAACCACTGAGCTAAATCCCTGGCCCCTATAAACTGTAATTTTTGACAATGACAATATAAGGGCAGAAACTGAGCTGTATATGATAGTTATGTATTAGAATTAAGTTGGTATTAAAACTATTGTTACAAATTTAGGGCAATAATTTGTAATTACCATAGTAACCATTAAGAAAATATCTAAAAGATTTACACCCTAAATAAATAAATAAAGACAGAACACCACCAAAATATCACCTCAACACTTAAGGAGCAAACAAGAAGAAAGGTATAAGACATGTAGACATAAATGGTGAAATGGCAGGAATTCCTGTTAGCAATTAGTTTAAGTCTAAATGGAAGAAATTCATCCATCATAAGGTGAAGATTGGCAGAAAGAGTTAAAAAAAAAAAACATGATTCAACTGAATACTGTCTTTAAACTCATTTCATATCCAAAGAGCCAAGATTTGGAAACAAATTGTGAGTCACCTCTAGGAAAGACTCCAGTAACTGGCAAAATTTGTACCATTTCTCTTAGCCTTCTCCAGATGGTCCTGGAAGCCCTTGTTAAGGTAATTGTGCGCTGAGAGAGAAGATACAGTCACTGCTTGCAGGAGATCCAAAATATCGCCGTAGCCCCCCAGTTATAATAGGTGATTATAGTGACCAGAGAGGATCAGTGATGTTTTAGCTCAGATGTGTCTCACAGTAGGTTGCCATTTCATATGATGACATTTCTTATTATTTTGGCCTTTGTCCTTCATAATGGGTTATTTTTTTCAAATCTCTTGATGGTATCCGATTGACCTTCATGTCAAAGACTGAGGCAGTAACAACTATATAAAACTCTGTTTTTGAAGGTAGAATTTACTTTGGGATGTTGAGTAAGAAGTATGTCAGGAAATGGGTGGCCAAAATGTGGCATTCTTCACTTTGAGGTCATTTCCTTTCCTCTCCCTGCTTCCCTCATTCACTCCCCCGCAACTTTTTAAAAAATATTAGTACAAGCTGGGCGTGGTGGCGCACGCCTGTAATCCCAGCACTCGGGAGGCTGAGGCAGGAGGATCACTGTGAGTTCAAGACTAGCCTGGGCTACATAGTGA